AAATAATCACCTAAAACAGATGACTCTCCAGATGGGAATCATCCATGTGATATGAAACCCAAAACAGGAAGTATCAGTTCTGAAAAAGATAAAGTTACCATTGAAATAAAAGTATTAAATTTAAAGTGACTTATTGTCTTCCACTTCCTATTGGTGTTCACTCTAATTCCTGTATAAGTTGGACCGGGTATCTAGTTTTCCTATCTGAGCTTCCTGGAAACAAATTATTTGAACAAAGAGCAATGTAAATATACTGTATTTCCATGCAAAATCCAACTTTAATTCTCAACAATACTTACAGGTATTTCATCCCCATGTACACCTAAGCTGTTTTCTATATACAATAATTTCTTTTACAATGTATTGTACAGTCTACTGCCAGGTATCTATAATTTTAAATCATTTTTATTGACAAATTGTCTGGAATATTAGCTACAGTCTTTTGTATCACTTGTAGATTTTGTACATGATATATTATATCTTGAGACCATCTCATCTCTACAGTTATAGCCAACCCCACTCATAGTAGTATGCTTATGACCAATTAATATATACTAATTCCAATAAATTGTGCCAAATCTCCATTCCTATTTATGTTACTTACAAACTATGTGAACAAATTGATAGATACAAGTACTATACAGTACTGTACAGTATCAGTATATTTATGGTATATAAAATCTCAAGTGTTACAAAACACTAACCCTGCACTTCAAAGCCACTGCAAATGCAGTACACCATACTGACAAATAATGTAGTCATGGGGGAACTAGAAATAACAGATTTAAGTATAAACCTACAGTTATATTTCAGAAAATGCTTTTATATTCTATAGCATCAAATTGTTACATTCACGGCTTTAATGATTTTGGTTAGTTCATACATATATACCCTGTATAAATAAATCTGATACCGTACAGTATCATCCTCCCAAATTATAAACTAAAAGTTAAACAAATGGTACCATGTCAACCAAAATTAGAAAAATTTAAAAATTTAGATGCTTCATACCGTTCAGTACAGTACTGTATTTAACATTTCCAGCCTATTCAGTACAGGATTTCTGTTTGGTTCAACAGATCCTTTCTTGTAACCTACAATATTCATTATAGACAGTAACTTTATGTACTCAGTATGTATATTGATTATACATTTGCCAGAATGATTGTCTAAGGCTGCAATATCCTTTTTTCTTTTCTTTTTTAATAACCTCCTACCAGGAGTCCATAACAAGCCTTCTGCAGTTTTAAGCAACTTTACTGAGGGCCTGTATTTAGCCGTCCTGCTTCAGGGAGGCTGGAAAGTTTCTACAATCATTTTAGGACTTTTCATCGGACTCTGAAATTTGGGGAGGCAATAAAATCCTAAACTAAGGTTAATCTTTACAATGCAGCAGCATTGATTTTGTAAGGCTTGGTAACTGTAGTGCACAGATTAGTATCTTCTAGGCATCAAAGCTTCATCTGACTAGATGACCCAGTGCAAAAAAACTGTCACCTACAGTTGCTTTAATCTGCAGGGGATTTGCAAAGTGCTTGATGTTCATGTTTACAATCAATTAAAAAAGTTACATCCACAGTATTAATATTTATTCCATTGCTTTGGTCATGCACTCTACTGTATTCTTTGCCACCCTTGGTGTGACTTAAATATGCCTAAGAATTGTAAAGAACACATTATGGATGTCTGTGATTGTTGTTCACAATTCTGCTGGCAAGCCAAAGGAAAATGTCACAGCTGACAAGGGAAATATAGTTAGTTATTTGCAGAAGATATAGTACTGTTCATACAATGCTCTGGATATGTAACTTTTTCAAAATGTTCTGTAAACATGAACCTTATGGGACTTTGTAAACATCCTGTACAGTATTCTGTATCCTGCATCAAACTCAATACTGTAAATCTGTTTTTGTTAAAAATTTTCGTGGGTCATAATTCTTCCATGGACACTCACTGTACAGTATTGCACTGTCAATACTACTACTATTTTTACTACTAATGGTGAAGTGATTTATTGCCAACCCGAAAGCACCATAGAAATGCTTTGCCAAATATGCATAACTTAATGAAAAACAAATTTCATGTCGTTATAGTACTACTGTATGATAAAATGTCAATTCAAGTTTAAAATCCACTTATTACAGATCAGTTTCATGTTCACTGATACCATTCTCAATGTAATCTAGGCTGGGTTGAAATAAGCTAAAAATCTTTGATTGTAAGTGATCCTTACATATGGTAGAATATATTAAATATACAAATGGTGTTAAGAAATACTCAACAAGATGTAGGCAATTATCATACTGATTGGGTATAATCTAACAGTTTTGTTTACTTGGCAGAATATATTAATATATAGTATTGTGAATAAAAAATAAATATACAGTCAACCCTCGCTTTACACGGTCCCACATTCCGCGTTTCCACGTTTACGCGGTACCCTGCCGAAACCGGAATGCTCACGTTCCGCGGTGCGTGTACCCCTTTACGCGGAGAGCGGCGCGAGCAGGGTGCGCACAAGGTCGCCCAGTCATCAAAACATTACCGAGTTCTCCACCCACCACAGCCGGCCCAAGTGAGTGATAGTGATAATTATAGTGAGGATATGGACTTATATGGACTTTGAGGGGTTTGACAAAGAGGCCCTGCAAGCCTTTGTGGTGGATAGTGATACAATTGATACAAGTGATACAGGTGAGGGCCAATAATCTGCCCTCTGCCTCGGAACCAACCCCCCATCCCCGTATGCCCAGCCATCTTTTCTACTAATGTAAGTGTTAAAAAACCTAATATTATTGATATTTCTCTTAATTATTAATTGTGTGTGCATACCATCATAAAATTAAGAAGTTATTTTTACTACAACGTAGGTATTGTGTCTGAAAAAGGTTTGGGGGTCGGCCCAGTCTCTATTTCAATTAATCCCATATGTTATGTTGTTCACTTTATGCGGGCCACCGTGGGTTGAATTAACCGCGTAAAGTGAGGGTTCACTGTACTGTACTAAAAAGTATAGTAAACAAGCTGTTCTTGTGTACTTCTAAACTGTGAAGCAAATGGAATAATGTCCACGAAATTTAAGCAGTTGTATGGGTTCCCAAACTATGTGACCTATTTATACTCAGCTGTTCTGGCGCTAAATAAATGTGTTTCATTTTAAGCCTTCGCATTTGATAAATCTAGAGTATTATTCATATACAGTATTTAAGTCAAGGTACCAAATTTCTGATCTATGTTAAGTGATCTGTAAGTTTGATTTGCTTACTCAAACAACATACTGTACAACATACGAGTACCGTACAGTATAGTATATATAGCTCTATCTTTTTTTATGAATTCATTTTCAAAGATAGAGATCACTCCACCTTTCCAAGTAAACCTTCCATTAGATCTTTATCTAGATATCAACTGTGAAGATGAATTACCAAAAAAGGTATGAAATATTTTGTAGAATATAATGCTGCAATATTTACTTTTGCATTTAATGTATACAACAAAATAAATTTATGAACCTAAATGTATATTTTTCTTCACAAACACCACAAAATCACTACACTACAGGCACTCCTCGGGTTACATAACAAACAGTTTACGCACTTCTCAGTCGAGTGCCCTTTCCTGGAGCTGGCTGATGCTCGCCCCACAAGGAGTCACAGCTCAAGGTTAAAGAAGCTGCAAGCTCAGAAAACTATGAGGGGTAACTTTCTCGGAATGAGAGTTGTGAACTCTTGGAACAATCTGCCAGAGTGTTGTGACGGCACCGAGTGAGATCTCTTTCAAAACCAGACTTGACAAGCACTGGAGCAGGTTCAGATACATTCAGGAGCCAGCTGCCCAGTATTTGCCAACAGTGGTACTCAAACTATCCAACCAGGAGCGAACTCATAACAATGGTTTTAAATTAGACAAATTTAGATTTAGGCACGAAATAGGTAAACATTGGTTTGGAAATAGAGTAGTGGGTGAATGGAACGAGTTACCAAACATCATCATTCACTCGAATATGCTCGATAGCGTCAAACATAGGTTGGATGGATATATGAGCAATAGGGGTTGGGTGTAAATGGGACTGGCTAGTATGGCCAATAGGCCCACTGCAGTTTCCTCCATTCATATGTTCCTATGTTCTAACAGACGTGACCGATCGCCCAAGCGGCTAACGAGCCGATCAGTGGTGAAGAGGATAAAAGCAAAAGTAAATTCGACATTGAGAACAATCTGAGATGTGTACAGCCAGTACACGCCTAATGCTTGCCAGCAATGCATAACAGAGACGTGACAGACAATTAAAAGATGTTGCTGGAAGCGTTAATGTGTTTGTAACTTAAACGGTAAATATTTTTTTTCAAACTTTTTTATTACTCATACCTTGAAAGTCAATATTTTCTGGCAGTTATATCTTTACAGACATTAAAGTGGGCCTGAACTGAGTGTCCTTGACAGCTATTACCTTTGTGTGACCGTACTTGTTTTGTTTAGCCTTTAATTATGGTTTAAAGCTGGCTGGCTGTGTTGACATGCAGAGTCCGGAAGCGTCAATGTGGCTTCGTAACGCCATGTACATGTTTAACAAAACGATTAAGAGATCTTTGATATTGGTATTTATATTGAAACAATTTATTTAGCCTGAGAAATACAGATACAGAGTGGATACTAATAATAATACTGACATGACTGAGCCAACTCTCTCAGTCACATCTCTGAAATGGAGAAAATAGTGATACACACTTTTTTTTATTAAATTAGCATTGGTATGATGCACAATGTGAAATATCATCCTATAATGCATAAGACTCTGGAAAATATATCCATCTTTTATGATAAATGAGAAGAATATGGCGTTACGAAGCCATATTGACGCTTCCGGACTCTGCATGTCAACACAGCAGGAGGCAGATGTGTACAGCACCTCAGCCCCAGGTATGGATACTCCACTGAGTAGTACTTTCATTTTTATCCTTTTCGCCACTGATCGGCTCGTTAGCCGCTTTGGCGGTCAGTCACGTCACTGTTAGCAAGTACTGGGCATGAACAGGCTCCAGGATGTATCTGTACCTGCGCCAGTGTTGGTCAAGTCTGGTCTTGAAGAGCTCACACTCGATGCTGTCACAACACTCTCTGGCAGATTGATTCAAGGGTTTACAAATCTCATTCTGAAAAGGTTTGCCCTCACAGTTTTCTGGACTTATGCCCTCTTCAACCTATGACCCCTTGTGAGGGGTGCTAGACAAATCGTACCCATGAGAACATGTCAAGTCGTACCCAATTACAATTTAACTCATACCCAATTTACGAGACAGTTCGTACCCATATATATATATATATATATATATATATATATATATATATATATATATATATATATATATATATATATATATATATATATATATATATATATATATATCTACCAATTTATTTCCATTATCTACCAATATCAATCTATCAGTTTTATCTATATTTGTCAATCTATTTATCAATACAAGTATTGTACAGTAATTGTCAGTCTGTCAATCTATGAACTGTATGTCTATGCTTATGGCTTACCAATATCTGTCAATATCTATTTATTTTTAGATAATGTACTTAAAGATGATTTAAAACTTGCAGGCACAGCGTAATTGACTTTTTAAATATTCTAATTATCTTTAATTATTTCAAAGGTCATTAATTAACACTAATTACTTGAATTTTTAACTGTGGACCCAGATCCTTATTCATCATCTAAAGTACAGTGGTCCCTCGGTTAACGAGCGCTTCGGTTAACGAGCGCTTCGGTTAACGAGATTTCGGTTAACGATTTACCTTCTATAAGATTCTTAACTTCGGTTAACGAGCAATCCCTCGATTAACGAGTTTTTTACGAGCCCACTTCAACATGTTTTCGCTTGCATTTGGCGGTCCACCAGCTGTAGTATTAGTCCGCCAATACAGTAATCAGTTTTAGGGCTTAAATTCCTTACTATTTTAGTAAATATCAAGAAGTTTATACTATTCAATAATTTTAAGAGTTTAATATTAACTTTTTTATTCATTTTAACAATTATTGAACATAATTGAAGGTAAAAAAACTAGTTTCTGGCGTGCCATCCAGCCTGTTAACACACCAGACAGGCGTTAGTCTCTCTCTGTTTTCAGTGGAGGTAACATCTTGCTTGAAACTCTCTTCAACTAAAGGCTTTTTTTCTGTGTTTCCAAACAAATTATTGGTCATTTTGAAATATATTTTACATATTGACAATATATAATGCAGTGCAGTGTTGATTTAAAGAAAATAATCTTGAATTACACCAGGAGAGCTAAAATTTTATGGGTGAAATGGCACCATGGGGTGACTTCTCTTCCACCCCAATGCCTTCTCTTCTTCCTTCTCCTCCACCCCCATTCTAATTCCCATCATCATCATCCAGGAGCCTTCTACATACACACCTCAAAGTAAGTGTACTTTTCTACCTTTTTTGTTGAATTTAGGCAATTTTCGGTGAGCTGGAACCAATTACCCAAAAGCCCATTGAAACAATGGTTTCGGTTAACGAGTTTTCGGTTAACGAGCAACCTGCTGGAACGGATTGTGCTCGTTAACCGAGGGACCACTGTAGTACCTTTGTGTAGTTTTATATTATTTTTTCTTTATTGATAAGCCACATCTTTTCTATAGAGTGGAATAAGAGTTAAGGAAGTCTGTTTTTCTGAGACATGAATTTGTTAAGTCAGCCTGTAGCACTGTGCATTGTAGGATTTATTGGGGGATCCCAAGAGTGAGTTTCAACTACAGTAATGGGAAAACTTGTTAATCTGTCACCTCTCAATCCACGTAGGTGACGGATAACTGGGATTTTACAGTATATCTACCTGTCTAAACGACTGTATAAATGTACCACTAATTTAGCTGGGAATAATAAGGCAAAAATGACAGACTTTGTCAAGCATGCAAGGTTTACAGTCCCAAGAAAGTTCACATAAACCAAACTTGAGTAAAACAAACAACTACTGTACTGAATGACTATTAATTTATGGACATATTTTTATCATAAACTGTTGTGTATATTAAATGTTTTTTGTTTGTTTGTTACAGATGAGTTAAAGACCCTTGGGATGTTGAGCAGCACCATTACAATTGAAAATGATACCTGCAAACTTACAAACAGCTGCCATTGTAGAACTTAATTCCAATGAACGCTATAACACCACCACCACTCCCACAGCACCACCACATATGGCAAGGTAAACTAAAGGAGTCATTTGTCCATCTGTCTGTCTTCCATTTATATCTTTCTATCCACTTAACTGTTTATGTATGTTTGTTTCTCTGCCTTTCAGCATATCTATCAATACCTAACTCAGTCTGATTTATCTACTGTATATCTGTCAATCTATTTATCTAAACAAGTATTGGTAAATTTACATTTTCAACCAATATGGCTCTTGAGTTGAGCAATGTTATCATAACTGTTAATCTAATATGTTGAATAGCAGAACGATAGAAATAATGTAAGAAATTTAGTTAGGGAGTTATATATATTTTACATTTAATTTAGGTTATGTTTAGTTAAAGTAATATTTAATAGTTACCTGAAATAATAGTCTTGTGCGAGTCTACATGCCTTTGTCTGCGCACGCATCCAACCAGCTGCAGTTGAATGTCAAATTACCTGCCATCGTCAGTTCCTTAATGATCCTGACCAGAGAAACACAACCTTCAGTAAAAACTGGTGATCATGGAGGGGCTCACCAACTAAACCCACCATTAATTCCTGACCTCCATCCACATCAGCAAATCTTGAGTATCAATTTATGTTGTAGGATACCCTAACTTTATGCTTTGTACGTACGGTGATATCTCCGTTAGCCTGAACAATTCATGAAGAGCACTTATGGAAATGAGACATTTTTGGGTAACAAGACGACTCTCAAAGCCGGAAAAACATTCCTCATCCCCGGAATCTTCCGGAATTTTCTGGGTCAAGGAAAAATTTTATTGGAAGTTCCAGAAATTGCCCATTACATTATCTCATGAACCTGGAAAAATAACCCCCATCCCAGTAATTTTCCGGGTACCGGAAAATTTTTGTTGGAATTTCCGGAAAATGCGCCTGATTTTCATCTTTCAAGTCCAGAAAAAACTCCCCCATCCCCAGAATTTTCCAGGTATAAGGAAAAATTTCTTAGATTTTCCCGGAAAATGTGCCCCTTGGAAAATCATTCCCAAAGCCGGAATTTTCTGGAAAATTCCGTCTTTGGGAACGATTTTCCGAGAAAATTTCAATTACGCAATTGGAGAGTTCCGAGTTTGAGGGATTCTTGCTAACGGAGATATTACTGTAGTTTGACGTAATATAAACTCCGACATTTGCCACTTCAGGTAATCACCCATTTTGAGTGTTTATTTAATGCGTATAACGTGATATAAAATATTTCTTGTCCTGATATCAACCAATTCAGGACAAATGTGTTTTTACAATGGTTTAGACAATTTTTTTCAATGAATTTTCCCACATAAATAGCTTATATATATATATCAGGGGATCCAGGGGGGGGGGGGGTGGAGCTCCTGGTTAGGAGGTTAGGTTAGATAATTTTAGGTCATTTGCGAGGGAAACATTATAGAAGAAAAGTGTCTTAAAATTGTCTAAATCAGGGGTTTCAAGTAATTTCTAGTGCGATCACATCTAGTGCTGTCGCTTTTCCAGTGCGACCCTAAGTCATTTCATTAAATATAAAGATTCGTAGAATAAATACAGTGACCCCTCCTTTAGCGAACTCAATCCGTTCCAGAAGGTCGTTCGTTAACCGAAAAGTTCGTTAACTGAAACCATTGTTTCAATGGGTTTTTGGGTAATTGGTTCCAGCTCACCGAAAATTTCCTAAATTCAACAAAAATGGTAGAAAAGTTCACTTACTTTGAGGTGTGCATGTAGAAGGCTCCTAGATGATGATGATGATGATGGGATTTAGAATGGGGGTGGAGGAGAAGGAAGAAGAGAAGGCATTGGGGTGGAAGAGAAGTCATCCCATGGCACCATTTCACCCATAAAATTTTAGCTCTCTTGGTGTAATTGTCAATATGTAAAATATATTTCAAAATGACCAATAATTTGTTTGGAAACACAGAAAAAAAGCGTTTAGTTGAAGAGAGTCTCAAGCAAGATGTTACCTCCAGTGAAAACAGAGAGAGACTAACTCCTGTTTGCTGTGTTAAGAGGCTGGATGCCGCGCATTAAACTAGTCACTTTACCTTCAATTATGTTCAATAATTGTTAAAATGACTAAAAAATTTAATATTAAACTTTTAAAATTATTGAATAGTATAAACTTCTTGATATTTACTAAAATAGTAAGGAATTTAAGCCCTAGAACCGATTAATGTATTGGCGGACTGATACTACAGCTGGTTGCCCGGTCAGTGCAAGCGAAAACATGTTGAGGTCGGTCCGTAAGAACTTCGTTAACCGAATTGAAGATCCTTATGGAAGGCAGTTCGTTAATCGAAATTACATTAACCGAGGTGTTTGTTAAAAGAGGGGTCACTGTACGTAGATATTTTTACACGTACAGTACAGTATTTAACTGTAAAAACAAATCGATAAAATATATTACATAACTGAGAAGTGTAAAAGTAAATACTGGCAGTAACAGGTTACAACTCTGTCATGATTATATCATCATTTAGTGGTCTATACCTGAGGGTATAATTACAGTACTGTACATGGTTAGACAACATAACAGACAGTTTTCATAGTTACAACTCTCTCATAATTAATGTAACATGCGTGCATTATCATTTAATTAATCTTAATACATGTTACCCGGTACACCAGTCATAATTAATGTAACGTGTGCATTATCATTTAATTTATCTTAATACACTTTATCTCAAGGTATTCGTTAAAGGTTGTTAAATCTTCACACCAATTATGATTAACTCTGCATTTGTCCCTCAACTGTGAATGATTGTACCAAAGGAAAAATAAAAATAAGTATAAAAACAAAAATGTATTAACAATAATAAATTAAGAATAGTGGCAGCATATTAAGGAGACCATGCAAAATATGAATCATGGCTGTTAGAGGTGGGGCCTGGTGTCACTTGGCGACTCGGGCCAACTGGACTTCATGTACTCAGGGCTACACTGGAAGCCTCATCCATCATCGAGGGTGTGAGCACTACGTTGAAAAGTTGCTGTAGTGGGCTACTGGCACACACACATCCTAGCGAGGTAACAAGCTATACCAGCTAGCTAGATTGCTAGCAGCAGGTCACACAGGTCATCACACCACTTCACTGCAGCAGCTCTGCCACTCCTTACATAAAAAGAGAGTGGACAAGTGCCAGCGGCGAGGCAGCTCTCGGCTAATTGACGCTGCCTGCTTTGCCGGCCTCTCACAACAGCTCGTGTAAAATGTATACCTAGTTTCTAACTGAAGCAAGATGTGAAACAATACAGGGTAATTCATTCACACGTTACATATCATAATTCATGTAACATGTGTGCATTATCATTTAATAAATTTAATGTTAACTGGGGGTATAATTATGTGGTTAAACAATATACGTTACAACTGTGTACGTCATCATTTGATCAGTTTTCTTAACCTGGTGATATATGAGGTTAAGCAACATAGCACACAATTTTCTAAATAGAAGTTTGATGATAAATGGCTACGATAATCGTTGTTTATACCAGAACATTGATAGCTAGATTTTCAACAGCTGAATGTTTTTGATAAAGTAATCCTAAACTTTGCTATGTCACCATAGATGTCAAAATTTACCCTTGCTTCGTTGTCAGCCTGTAATTCTAACATTTTGAACGCAAAAGATTCAGTAAGCAACTCATTGAAATTTGCTGCCATTTTCTGTGCTCATCCGTGGGAAGTAGAGAGAACTGTGCTGAGAACAGTTAAAAGGTATACAGTACGTACAGTAGACCCTTCCCATTCGCAGGTTTGCGATTTCGACGATTCGCGGTAAGCAGATGGTGACTGCTGGCTAGCTTGCAAGCTTTTTCCTGCAGCACAACGAGTCACTTCACGCAGCATCTCGTGTTGTACTCTCAAAACTTTAGTGTTTCTGTGTGAAATGGCCACTAAAAGACTGCTTAGTGTCAGTGCTAAGGATGCTAGTGGAGTGAAATGTAAAAGGCAGAAGTCAGTGATGACCCTGACCAAGAAATTTTAATTATAAGACAAGTTAAAGGAGGGGATGAGTGGTGCCGCGGCTGGTTGGTTGTTTGGTATAGGTATACAGTAGTGCACTAAGGTAGTATAAGTTGCTATTCGTTGTTTTGCCTATTTGTGCCATTCCTTGGAACCTATCCCTCGTGAATAACAAGGGTTTACTGTATATAGGAGTGTGGAACTTGTGTTATGTCACAGGGCAAGGAGAGTACAGTAATTGCGTTAATCCCTTGACCATAATTTATGGTCCTCACTTAACGATGCAGCACCTGTTGGCCTTGTCCTTCAGTCCTTGATACTTGGATTAAAAAAATAAAAGAAATGACATGTGACTGCTGCAAGACCCAGGTGATCCCATGACCTCTATGTGACCCCATATTTGGGAGCTGCTGGTCTAAACCATCAGAAAAACACATTGCTCAACTCGAGAGCCATGTTGGTTGAAATGCAAATTTACCTAAGAATTTGTCTTTGTCAATTTGTATACAGTACAATACAGTATATCTATCTATCTATCTATCTATCTAACTTATCTATATCTGTCAGTATCTATTTTTATATTTTCATCTCTCTCTATGTCCATCTATCACCCAGTCTATTTATATTTACCTGTCTATCTGTCTTAACTACTGTATTAATGTACCACTAATTTAGCTGTGAATATTATGGCAAAAATGACAGACTTTGTCAAGAATGCAAGGTTTACAGTCTCAAAAAAGTTCACATAAACCAAACTTGCATAAAACAGACAACTTCTGTACTGAATGACTATTATTTTATGGACATATTTTTATCATAAACTGTTGTATATATTAAATGTTTTTTGTTTGTTTGTTACAGAGGAGTTAATGACTAAACCTGAGAAATTAACTGGAGCATGGAGACACTGCTGTTACAGGTGTGTTTTTGTCTGTCTGTCTGTCTGATTTTCTCTATTCTGTATCTTTCTATATCTCAATTTTTCTAGGTATGTCTATCTTTATGTTTCTGTATCTTTCTATCAGTCTCTCAATACCTGTATGTCAGTCAGTCTGTTTGTTTGATATCTATATCATCTGTCAGACTGTCTTTATATATACAAGTATCTGCTTTATCTATATCTATGCTATCAGTAAGAAAGATATTGGCAGTGAGTGAGGAAGGTGGGTACACAAGAGGTACAGTGAGTGAGGAAGGTGGGTACACAAGAGGTACAATGAGTGAGGAAGGTGGGTACATAAGAGGTGCAGTGGAGTAGGTGGCAGACTGCAGGATGTTGCTGACTGTAAGTGTTGTGTATGTGCAGGTAAATATGTGTCTACGGCAAGACTGAAGAAACTCAACACTGAAGATTATCCTTGGACTGTGCGGATGAGTACTGCTGGCTGGGTGACCTGATCAGGACTGGAAGGGGTGCTGAAGTCTGCTGTGTTGTGAGTCATGGATGAGTTCTGCTGCCTGGGTGACATGATCAGTGCTGGAGAGGGTGCTGAAGGCTGCTGTGTTGTGAGTCATGGATGAGTTCTGCTGCTTGGGTGACATGATCAGTGCTGGAGGGGGTACTGAAGGTTGCTGTGTTGTGAGTCATGGATGAGTTCTGCTGCCTGGGTGACATGATCAGTGTTGGAGAGGGTGCTGAAGGCTGCTGTGTTGTGAGTCATGGAATGGGTTCTGCTGCCTGGGTGACATGATCAGTACTGGAGAGGGTGCTGAAGGCTGCTGTGTTGTGAGTCATGGATGAGTTCTGCTGCCTGGGTGACATGATCAGTGCTGGAGAGGGTGCTGAAGGCTGCTGTGTTGTGAGTCATGGATGAGTTCTGCTGCCTGGGTGACATGATCAGTGTTGGAGAGGGTGATGAAGGCTGCTGTGTTGTGAGTCATGGAATGGGTTCTGCTGCCTGGGTGACATGATCAGTGGTGGATGGGGTGCTGAAGGTTGCTGTGTTGTGAGTCATGGATGAGTTCTGCTGCCTGGGTGACAATGGATGGAGGAGGTTTTGGGAATTCTTGTCTTTATTGTCAGCATGGGGACTTTCCCATCACATGAAAGTAAGAATGTATACAACTGGTGTGAGAAGTGTGGTGTTATATATCCGTGAAACATGGGCAGTTAAAGAGGATGACATATGCAGTCTTGAGTGAGCTGAAATGAGAATGGTGAGGTGGATGTGTACTGTGACGCTGAAAGATGAGAATCGCCGTTCAGAGCTAAGAGGGCGGCTGAGTATTGAGAGTATCGGCCAAGATTTACGTATAAGTAGACCGAGATCGGGAGTGTGGGGAGAATGGATGAGACCAGCTGGGTTAAGTGGTGCATGAGTCTAAATGTGGTGAGGAGGAGAGCCAGTGGTAGGTGGCCAAGAATGACATGGGGAGAGATTGTAAGAAATGATCTTAGAACCTGACAAGACAGACTGCAGGAGAATGGCTGTATGATTTGGGTGGTGATGATGATTTTGTTCTTGCATTCTATCTAAGTTTCAGGCTATCTATCTATCTATCTGTCTATCTATCTATACTACTGTACTGTATTTCTCACCATATTAAAGGCAACCACAGATATAGCATGAAAGGTTTATAGTCTCAAGAAAGTTCACCTAAACTAAACTTTCATAAAAGGAACAAATATTTAAATGACAAAAATTGCAATGTGTTCCATAACCTGTATAGTACAGTTGACCCTCACCAACCGAGGATTTCCCATCCAGGGATTCCGGATATTCGTGGTTTTTACTCTACAAACCATTTTACACATCCACGGCATTGAATTTGGAGAAGTGTGGCGTCTTTATCCCCTTGCGGTCTAATGTATTCCTCCGTAAATGTGAGGAACGAATAAAAATAATAATAATAAATAAGAGGAAGGAAAAAATACTGCATGCCATTTGACAACTGTTTCACTGAAGATGTGGGAGACAGGCATGTGCTCCCCCCTCGTGGGCTGACTCCTGCCGACGTAATAAAAGTTTATTGTGTGTTTTTTTACCTTTTGATAATCATTTTTTGACTAAGTCTAAGAAAGCTTGTGTGTGCATGTAACTGCTAAAAAAGTGAATAAAACTACATATATCTACCCAAAACTACGAGTTGAAAAATAACAATAACACAGCTTGGCCTGGTGTATATGTATACAGTTACATATATATGATGTAGGGTGAATTATGGAGACATTTGTTAGGTTGAAAATATGTCTTATATGGTGGGAAATATGGTATATCTCTCTACATCTTTCTGTCCATCTGTCTACAGTATATCTCTTAAATGTACTGTAGACAGAACTACTGTACTAACCATGATAGACAGTTGACAATGCATGTGATTAATACCTGGAATACAAATATTTGCAGGAAAATGTCCAATATATTCAGCAACTAGACCACTTTAGAACCAAGAAAATATTGTTTATTGTTTTTATACCAAAACACTGGTGATTGTCTCTCAGATATATCAGGAGTTGTATATCTTTTGTGCTGCATTACTGTGTCCTGGGTTCATTCCCCAGCCTGGTACAGATGTTACCCTCACTACCAAACATGGCAGGTTTTCTCCAGGTACAATACTACAGTTTCCTCCCATACTGTACAGTATTAACAGACCAACTGCCCAAACGGCTCATTACTGGTAATTACGATGTCGCTACGTTAAATTATACAAAGTTAGAATCCTAATTTAATGTTGACTCGGCCATAGTGAGCTTCTATGCCACTGATGAATGAGTCTTGATCACACACAACTATAAGGCGGCCTTCTCTTGCCACTCCATCTTCCCTCTGGCCTTTATTGTGGAAAAGCCAAGAATTATTATTGTGTGAGGATGTAGTGGATCTCTGAGGTAACAATGATAAATATTTTGGTGTTAAGTCGGTACTGTGCAGGTCTGACCCACCACTACTGCAGGGAGTGAAGACCTTCCTTAAAAGGTTTAACTTGGCAGTGTTCACAAGGTCACAACACAGACGTCCTCAATGGCACTTGATGGTTTATAACAAAGCCATTTTTTATTATACTAACTTTTGTCCTTGATGATGTGGTTCAGCCATTATCAGATGCAGGTCAGGAACACAAAGGACTGTTCCTCTATAATGCTCACTGAGTAAATAAGGATGGATTACATTCTTAACTCTCAAATGGCAGCCATCACCTGCAGAAGTTAGCTGTAGGGATGGTAGTCATCACCTGCAGAAGTTAACTGTAGGGATGGTAGTCATCACCTGCAGAACTTAGCTGTAGGGATGGCAGGGAGGGATGATCATTAACTAAGTGATAAAGAAGGTACCTGTAGCGGCATTGTCTATATACATGGTGAACTGTATACCTGTGTTGTCTATATACATGGTGAACTGTATACCTGTGTTGTGTGTATACATGGTGAACTGTATACCTGTGTTGTCTATATACATGGTGAACTGTATACCTGTGTTGTCTATATACATGGTGAACTGTATACCTGTGTTGTCTATATTGTATTAGCTGAGGTGAGATACCAAACTATCTCACTTGTTAACGAGTGTAGGTTAGTCACTGGTACCTTTGATGCAGCTGAGTGAGATATCTGGTCATCTCACGTCATGTCACCTTTGATGCAGCTGAGTGAGATATATGGTTATCTCATGTCATGTCACCTTTGATGCAGCTGAGTGAGATATATGGTCATCTCATGTCATGTCACCTTTGATGCAGCTGAGTGAGATATCGGGTCATCTCACGTCATGTCACCTTTGATGCAGCTGAGTGAGATATCAGGTCATCTCACGTCATGTCACCTTTGATACAGCTGAGTAAGATATCGGGTCATCCCATGTCATGTCACCTTTGATACAGTCGTTGATAGTTTAAATCGTCACAGCTGTCCTGGGTTGTACTTGTAATTATCTTGGCTTGAAAGTTAAACAAGACACACAGGTACTGTTCTCTTCACTCGTTGTTCCTTGGTTTAATGTAACCACACGTGCTGATTTAATAGTTATATTGGGTAGTAATGTCTGTACAATTATTTTGTATTGACAGACTAATGAGCATTAGCTATTGGCTTGTAATTAGCTGATATAATTAGAGAGAGGTACAGCCCGGAGAGCTGGTCTCACTTTAGGGCATCGTGTCGGGCTGTGAACTGGGCTGAACTCTCTTGAGTCTGGTGACTGGACAGTAACCACACTTCAACAGGTCATTAACTAAACAGCCTACCACACACTGAGGGTTGAGTCTGTAGTTTAATGGGCTGTACACCCTAGGAGGTGTGACAGAAGAAATGTTTATGGGCTGTAAACCCTAGGAGGTGTGACAGATCAAATGTTTATGGGTTGTACACCCTAGGAGGTGTGACAGAACAAATGTTTATGGGCTGTACACCCTAGGAGGTGTGACAGAAGAAATGTTTATGGGCTGTACACCCTAGGAGGTGTGACATCAAATGTTTATGGGCTGTACACCCTAGGAGGTATGACAGATCAAATGTTTATGGGCTGTACACCCTAGGAGATGTGACAGAACAAATGTTTATGGGCTGTACACCCTAGGAGGTGTGACAGAACAAATGTTTATGGGCTGTGCACCCTAGGAGGTGTGACAGAACAAATGTTTATGGGCTGTACACCCTAGGAGGTGTGACAGAACAAATGTTTATGGGCTGTACACCCTAGGAGGTGTGACAGAACACATGTTTATGGGCTGTACACACTAGGAGGTGTGACAGAACACATGTTTATGGGCTGTACACCCTAGGAGGTGTGACAGAACAAATGTTTATGGGCTGTACACCCTAGGAGGTGTGACAGAACACATGTTTATGGGCTGTACACACTAGGAGGTGTGACAGAACACATGTTTACGGGCTGTACACCCTAGGAGGTGTGACAGAACAAATGTTTATGGGCTGTACACCCTAGGAGGTGTGACAGAACAAATCCTTATGTAGCTGTATGCTCAATAGTCTGGGTGATAGAATGTATATAATGAATATATGT